TTAAATAATATATATTTTATATTTGTGTTATGTGTACAGTTTGGAATTGTACATTTTAGTGATTTAGATCACGAACTTGCCCCATTTTGGATCAATGTACCTAAATCATGGGTCGCCAACAATTTATTGAATTCTGATAACTATGGTCCATGACTCATACCAGTCAAAATACATCACTAAAGNACGAACTTGCCCCATTTTGGATCAATGTACCTAAATCATGGGTCGCCAACAATTTATTGAATTCTGATAACTATGGTCCATGACTCATACCAGTCAAAATACATCACTAAAGCAAGAACCATGTGTAAGCTCTCCTAGGGTTGGGAAGGGGGGATGGGGGTTGCTAGGTAGTTATGACAGCCATGGGTGGTGGTTTGCCTGAAGTCAACATAGCCCTGGTGGGTTGGACAAGGTGGTTCGGAAGCTCCATGGAAGCTGTGGATTCAAAGTGCCGGGCAGTGAGTTAGGAGTCCAAATTTATCGGTAAATCGCAAGAGGGTTAGGTGACTATACATGAAGTTTAGTGGATGTAAGTGGTCCAGGACCAAACCACCCTAAAGGAATAAACTGGAATAGAAGTGTGATCACTAATAGAGGAAATGAACATTAATGAAACAGATGAAGAAATTTTTAACCTTCATATACAGGGTTCTATGAGCACTTGATTCTTGTCTTCTACGTCGCTTCAAGGCTGCTGCTAGATCATTGATATTCACCAAATATTTTGGGTAGCAGGCATAGGTGCTGCTGCATTTGCATAACCACATGCTAATCCAAACAATCATTTCAAACTTATCGTCGCTCAAGACCTAATAATCGTTTACCAGCAAGAAAGATGATGTGTTTGTCTTCAAGTTGACCAGTAAGGAAGAAACTTATCATCGAACGAACACCCGCACAATTTTCAAATGCAAACTAAATTTTCAAATGCAAACTATGCGCATCAGTTAAACTCAGATTTTATGGAACCAAGGAAACTCAAACTCAGAATGTACAGTTGTACACACGGCCCCTTGTTCGACCATTAAACTTACTCGTGCNTTAGGGTTTGAAATTTGGAGTTACTACTTTTCACATTTTTGGTCACAAACGCACCCTATTTAGGGTTTTGCGACCCAAATTGTGGTTCGTAAGCTCTTGGACGAATTCTGGTAATCCAAACTTTGGACTTGGGTACCTCTGTCCTACGGCCCTGCGTAGTCTCTGTACAATGTACGGGCCTCAATTACTCAACAGTTGAACTCTTTTTTGTTTTTTTTTGATAAGCAACGATAATTTTAAGATGGGTTCGAACCTGCTGCAACCTGCCACTGCACAAAGCCGGAGACTTGCCAACTGGATAGAACCGCGGGTCTCAACAGTTAAACCCTGACAATAAAGTGTTTCCACAGAACCCATGGGAACATGGCGCGTCTATTGGACCAATGTTTTGCTCTCCACTCATTGAATAAAACTCAGCGTCAGCTCTAATCGTTCAATGGCAGTATGGGTCAAGGCCCCCATCATCAGCCTTAAGGCTTCCCTAAACTCATATTCATAACAATGTTATTTGGATCGTGGTACGCTTGAATACGTGTTACAAATACAAATACTTAATACAACACTTTCTCAGATATGAAAAAATGATAAGAGTAGGATTAACTGGTCGTAGTTTATTTTGAAACTTATCTAGATCATTTTTATCACTATACAATATTATATATCATAGAACATTCATAAATATTAAATCAGTTACCATTTATTTTATATTTGTGCTCGATTTTCTATTATTTAAAATAATATATAATTATAAATCTATATTCACGTAGTTAAATAATATATATTTTATATTTGTGTTATGTGTACAGTTTGGAATTGTACATTTTAGTGATTTAGATCGCGAACTTGCCCCATTTTGGATCGATGTACCTAAATCATGGATCGCCAACAGTTTATTGAATTCTGATAACTATGGTCCATAACTCATACCAGTCAAAATACATCACTAAAGCAAGAAACATGTGTAAGCTCTCCTAGGGTTGGGAAGGGGGGATGGGGGTTGCTAGGTAGTTATGACAGCCATGGGTGGTGGTTTGCCTGAAGTCAACATAGCCCTGGTGGGTTGGACAAGGTGGTTCGGAAGCTCCATGGAAGCTGTGGATTCAAAGTGCCGGGCAGTGAGTTAGGAGTCCAAATTTATCGGTAAATCGCAAGAGGGTTAGGTGACTATACATGAAGTTTAGTGGATGTAAGTGGTCCAGGACCAAACCACCCTAAAGGAATAAACTGGAATAGAAGTGTGATCACTAATAGAGGAAATGAACATTAATGAAACAGATGAAGAAATTTTTAACCTTCATATACAGGGTTCCATGAGCACTTGATTCTTGTCTTCTACGTCGCTTCAAGGCTGCTGCTAGATCATTGATATTCACCAAATATTTTGGGTAGCAGGCATAGGTGCTGCTGCATTTGCATAACCACATGCTAATCCAAACAATCATTTCAAACTTATCGTCGCTCAAGACCTAATAATCGTTTACCAGCAAGAAAGATGATGTGTTTGTCTTCAAGTTGACCAGTAAGGAAGAAACTTATCATCGAACGAACACCCGCACAATTTTCAAATGCAAACTATATTTTCAAATGCAAACTATGCGCATCAGTTAAACTCAGATTTTATGGAACCAAGGAAACTCAAACTCAGAATGTACAGTTGTACACACGGCCCCTTGTTCGACCATTAAACTTACTCGTACAGGTCTGGACAGCTAAACCTAAATTACTTCTTGGACCTAGAATCCTAGGGTAGCAAAACCGAACATGTCACGACTACAACTTATTAACCACCAAAACCCCAACACACACGGGAGAAAAAAAAAACCACCCAGAACAGGACATACCTGTGAGAGCTCAATATATGGAGGTTCCAACTTCTAGAACTGAAAGTCGATTTAGGAAGTCAGCGAGTTATGTCGGTTTCTAAGAAGTTGCCACTTCTCATCCTGTCTGGGAAGGATCTTACAAGTCATAATTGCAACTATGTGGAAAATGTTTCTCTTCACAAATAGATATTTGATCATTGGTCATATCCATCTTTAAGCCCTTACTGAATACAGAGCTAAACCATAATCTAAAAACACAACTGATGAACTCTAATTTCTTAATTCCAGGATTAAGGAATTGTATTCAAACCAGGCAGAACTATTTTTCCATTGTCTTCTAAGTTGTTCTGGTGTGGCAAGCAATAGATAGCAGCATTGGAAACAGAAGGAATAATCTCAGGAGCATCCCTTTTCATTACTTTTCGGTTATTCTTAATCTCTTTATTAGTTAGTACCTATCCACATTAAAAATCTACCTCAGTGAGTGCACTTGAAAATTATTTTTCCTATCTAAGACCGCTTATCTTACACAGCATTCGCATATTAATCGAATGATGGATTGACCACCCAACCATCTTTTCTTCTGAACTCACTTGGTAAGAAAAACATACGCAAACTCCCATAACCGTTCCCATACACAAACAATATGATCGAAAAAACCTAAACAACAAACTGCCTTAGTTATTATCTTTCCTAACATTCTATAATCACACAAGAGAAAGCCATAAAGCTTAGGATGTGCAACCATGTTGATTCAAACAACTATCCAACCAACATTATTCTTCCAAATACAGCTGTAAAAAATCAATATATCTCAGCACACTAAGCTTTAACAATAAACAAAAGCACTGCAATTTCAAGAAGAATGATAATAATCAAGCTGGCAGTTGCATCACATGGCTGCCAACAATATAGAGACACACGAGAATTATATTGATGACAATAATCAAGCAAGAGGTCATAAAATGTAGTTATTGAAAACCGGTGGTGTCAGGGATAAATGCCGACGAAAAAGTATGCATAGTATATTAACACGACACTTCAATCCCTAGCAAAAACCATGAAGCTTGTGTACTCTTGGAAATATCCAGTAAACAGTTTTTTGTTTTGAACTTTCTACATATGTTTGCAAGTAACAGGCCTATACCAGATTGCTATGTTCAAACTTGTAATATGGTCAAGTAAATCACAGTTGATTTCCTTGACAGCAGCAGCATATATCTTGTCACCAATCTATGACTTCAAAAAAATAGGGACACTAAATAAGATTTGTATCATAAATTAGTATAACAAGAGACAAAAACAAATCCAATTCAAATAAGCACAGTTCACTCCATATGCGTTTGTTCCTGTCCTCACCTTTGCCACAAAGAACAAGCGCCTATAACACAAGTATGAATGGCTTCTAACTCTATTAACAGCCTATAACAAGAAAGCTAAGAAAATATGCAAAGTAAAAACCATGCAGTACCCAACAGTTAGGCTCCTGTCCTTGGTGCAGGCAGGGTTTCACAAACTTTCTGCTGACAAGTAAATCAACTTGTTAATTATCCGATATCAATGAACTCTAGAAACTCACTCGCAAAGTATACATAGTCATTACATATCAGATGTGCACAACACTGGGCCTGAGATTCTTCGAGAAAACCAAGGAGTCCACTTAACTCAAATGATCAGTGCGCTTCATTGTTAGACCCATAATATTTAGTATAAAGCAAGAAACTAAACAGAAATTCTTCTAGATCAAGGTATTGAATCTGTTTTTCCTCCCTCGATGTATGCATTTTCTTTTTCAACATCCTCATACTCCCTTTTTTTTCTTCTCTTCTTCCCTCACATTACTGATACACTGGAGCATACTTCCAGATATATTTTCTTTTATGGGACACCAGAATATCTCAGTAAAATCAGGCTTTGCATTCAATGCTCAACTAGATAACAAACACAGTCAAAAAGACTAAAGAAGCCCCAGTTCATTAAAGCAAGCATATGACACAAAAAGTAACTGTTTTATTCCATCAAAAGGAGAATACTGAGAAATTAATGTACAGAATCCGGAGGCATGAAATATATAGTAGAAATGTAAGGGACATAGGAGTGCCAAAAAGAAAGCAGCAAGCAAACAACGAAAAACTGGAGCAATGATAAATAAACAGCAAGGATAACACAAGTAACTTACGATGACATTAGATTCACAATGTAAATTAACATGACATTAGTTTCAGTTTATCCCATTACATGTAGACCTCCATACCTATATACTTCGATGAGTGACACATCGGACAAATACTAAGCTTACTTTCACATTCTTTGCATAAACAGAGATGCTTACAAGGTAACAAAAGCATGCATACTTCATTAACTCTACAAACCTTACAAGTCATCAACTCCTTCATTTTGTTGTTATCCTTGCCAAGCAGATGGAAATCGATGGCATGACCATTGTAGCAAGAGGCTGTATCATCTACCTCACTGTCACCACAACCTTCTTTACTATCTCTACTCTGTGCAAAAACTTGCTGAAGATTGAACTTTAGGGTGTTGATTATGCTCTCGTTGTAATTGGCCTGTTGTTGCCAAGCACTGGCCTCCACAGCCAACTGTTGCATTCTCAACTCAAGCTCCATATTCTTCCTGTTGATGTCTTCCACCTCTGCTTCTTTGTCACGGAGTTTAGAAAGAACTTTTTCTTCAACATACGAGATGATCTGAAGTTGGTTCGCCTGTACCTTCTCCAGGATTGCTTGTCTCAGTCGGTCACCCTGTAATAGCAAAACAAGTTCGAAACTATTTAGGGAGGTGCAAATTTATCGAATCCAAAACTATTTAATGCTACTAAAGAAATTTCTTGCTTAAATATTAAGACAATACATACCTAGACATTAGTTCTAATTTCCCTATTTATATGATATGACTTTATTCGTAGTCGGAAATTTGCTTGATAAAATAAGAGTGCAGCAACCTAACTTCCCAAACGAGAATTAGTAGCTTAATACGTAAACTCGTACATTGCATGAAAACTTAATTAATGACATGTCTACAATTTCCTTAAAGATTTTAAATCTGCAACCATGATTACATCACATTTGCACGTGAGAATCAACTGTCCATGTGGCACCATTTAAGAATCCATTATCCTACTGATTGACATGAGATGGCCAAAATTTTGACCATTCTCAATGCTTAGATTCTGTGTGCAACACAAAACAATATGCAGATGTTCACGTACCATCTAGTGATATCGAGTTTGAAGTAGCATTTTAACTCAAAGACATACGGGTGTTAGGGAGACCTTACGTCATCCCAAAAAGAGTTTAACATAGGAATATACCTTCTTATCCTTAAACATCACAGTCTTTTACAAATGAATGAAAGAACGCACATATTTCTAAGAATCGACCTATTCCATATATACCGGGAATGCCACAACTCTCAATTTTGAGGAAAACGGTGAATATAAAATCCAGCAGGGATAAAGCAAAACAAACATACCAATCAAAGATCAGTATTTCACAATTAAATTTTCATTAATACCAAAATGTCCAGTGAGCTATGTACTCACTTTTCATAATCATTAAACCTTCCATGATTTCCAAATTACTTGATGGACAACTTACAGTCAATTCATGTACATAATTAGAAAACCTATAACGAGAATTTAAATACCAAAGAAACAGCAAAGGACTCATTTCCTCTGTACACCCAAATGAAAACAATGACGATAAAAGAAAACCCTAATTTTCCTCTTCACGTATATTCAATTGAGTAACTAAGATACAGTCTGTATATAGAAAAAAGACCTGAATTTTGATGTATCTGTCAATCTCAGCCTCCTGTCTCTGTAATTCCCGCTCAATGTCATCACCACCAAGACCAAGCAAAGATGAATCACCGGACGAAGCCAAACGCCCATTGTCCAGCGACAAACCTAGCCCGGTCGACACCGATCGGGCCTGCAAGAAATCAACAGATGATATCTGTGAATGATTTTCCAAGAAATCTTGCTCTTTTAGCCTCTTTTTACTATCGAGCCCATTATCGTTCCCGTCCGCCGGACCCGGTGCGAACCCCACCACGTGAACTGGACCAACCACCAAAGAACAGAGAAAAACATGAGAAGAAATAAAAAAAAATTGACCTGAAATAGAGAGAGAGAGAGGGGGGGAGAGAGAGTACAGGGAGGAATGTATGGTCGATGTTGAGACTGATTGGGGACATTGGAACCGTTTAAGTAGGTCACCGGCGGCGAAATATGACCGTTCATGTTATTATAGATATCTCTGCAAATCCCCAAAAAGAGAGAGAGAGAGAGAGAGAGAGAGAGAGAGAGAGAGAGAGAGAGGTATAATAATGTGGGATGAAAATCAAAAAACAAATTTAGGGTTTCGGAGATAAAAATCGGATTTTTGTGACATATTTTTACCTGGATGGTTTAGGTGGTTGTTGCTGTTGTTGTCGAAGTTCTAGGAGGTGTTGAAACTGGTGTTGAGGCAAAGCCATGGCTGGCTCTGAGAGAGAGAGGTTCTGTAAAACACCGGAGAGATGGTCGAGGAGAGAGTGCTTTCCATTTGCTACTTGGTCATGGTAGTATTACAAATTTACGGAATGGCCCCAACTTTGCTATGTATCAATCAAATGCCCTCTGGCCTGTGCCGGCTGAATTGAAGTCGGGTGGGATCCCAAATTGGCTGACGGATCCCCCACTGGCTAGGAATTAAAAACAGTAACATATTTTTTTATTTTGTTTATTTCTGATACTTCATTAATAAATAGAATAAAATTCTCGTAAATTTTTTTTAATACAAACTCTAAAATGAAAAAGGATCTTAAGTGACTTAACAACAAGTAATCAATTTTTATGATAAAAAAAAATGGGTCCACTAAGGGGGTCAAAATCTTAGATAAAGATCTCTTTTATTGGCACATAAACGGAATATAGTGATTGTAGAATTTGACTCTGAACCAACTAATTATATTTGGTTGAATATGTTAAAGAACGGGTTAACACATAATTTGAATTCTGAATAGTCGTGGTATCGAAGATTATACAAATCCCTTCCCACAAAAGATATGGAAATACTAATAGTTGTATGTTATTGAATTTTAAATCACCAATTGCAGGATTTGGTTTATCGCTATATATATATATATATATATATATATATATATAAGTAAAATCGAGGCTATATTGAAGTAGACATCAAGGACAAACCTCATCCACTGTTAAGAATGACAGTAGTCCGGAATGGGGCCGAAAGCGTAGTTTCTATCTTGTATTCACTTAAAAAAAAATTTGTCTATTCCTAGTTCACTCAGTTAACAGGACAAATTTTAATCTCCATTATATTATATTTCGCGTGTAAATTCTAGTTCTGCCCTTATCTTCGCCCCGTTTCATGATAATTAATTTTTGTAATTTTAAGAAAAAAAAAATAACAATTAAAATACAAGTTGTATTCATGTATCACATGATATAATCAAAACCAAAACCAAAAACAAATAAATAAATTAACAAAAGTTCATAACTAAAAATTTAAAAACTTCCAAAGATATTACCACACAAACCATCCCTGGGAGGCAATCATATACAAAAACTGAACATACAACATCATGATATGATTTAATTCAAATCTACTATATATATGGAGACATAAATTTAAAAGGTTTAGCAGGCACGGGTAAAATTTAGTTTATTCCCGCTTTTATCCTCGCACTATTTTACACAAATATCTATGTATGCGTCCATCGTTCAATACGTATGATCTATTTTTGATCTAAACAAAATAAATTTGGATAAATCCCTATTTTTTTCTCAATCCACTATCATCCCAACCTCTATGCATAATTCCCTTACTAATCATATAAAATTGACTGGTAGGGCCCGTAGAAGCTATCGAGTTGGTAAACATTTGGTGCAATTAGTTGCGTAGGGCCTGTATTAGGTAATATCCATCATCAATTTTCACCATGGTTTGACTAAAATATGCGATTGTCTGTCTCATATTGTGAAAATCATGAAAGATTAAAAAACAAGTTAATTATCAATATGGCCCCTGCAGTATTTTGTGTGTCAATTAAGTCCTTGAAAAAATAAATGTATCAATTTAGCCCCTCAATTATATAATATATCTCAATGTGACCTTTCAATGCAATTTGCCGCTAATCTTAATAGTTACAAGGAATCTAATTTGTTCCGAGAATGGTTATGAGTGATGTCTGATCTCAAAGTTCATTTATAGATAGAGTTTCTTATTTAATGTGGAATGAACCCATCTCACTTATGGCTAGGGTGTGAAAATATGACATAGTAATACGACACGGAATTAAAAGTTTTATGTCTTTTTTAAATCACTTATTTTATAAACAAGTGAAGATAACACGAGATAATTAATAAATAAATTGAATATGAGTGAAATCAATTAAAAAAATAAATGACACAACTAGCTTATTTATCGGTTATATATAATTCATACACGATACGAATTCAATATACTACAATTCGTTAAATATAAATTAAAAAATGAATCTAACATGAATAAAATATTTTTGATACGACTTTACTAATATCCAACACGAACGCGTCTCACTTGAAATAATTGACAAGCCTCCTTGTGGCATTAACAGATTGACCGCAGATGATGAAAGAGTAGTGGCCTGTACATTAAATAATTTATAAATATTTATTTATTTATTTATTTTAATAAAATAGAACTTCAAGTATCATAGAATTATCTGACATCCCAACTAGCTTGGCATCTCAAGAAATCCCGAATCATGTGCTATAGACTTGAATATTATTAATGAAAGAAAAAGAGAATACATGGAAGAAATCAAAAAATAAAGAAAAGTCTGGTCCCGGTAACTTATAAAATGCCACAATCCAAGTTCCAGTAACTTATAAAATGTCACAATTCAGTTCACAAAGGACTCAAAACCACCCTATAGTTTAAACCTATACAAAAGGAGGCTATATATGTCGTTATAGAGTTGAGTAGCAAGCACTGTAGGATCTGTTCACAACCATTGAAAACCTAAATAGGACAAACCAATATTTGCGCATTTATCAGCTACAACATTTCTTTCTCGAAAGATATGACTAAAACGGAAGTTCTTATGCTGCAAATAGTACCTGCAATTTAGCCAACGAATTTTAAGGGACCAGGGTGGGTCATAAGATGGATTAGACAAACATTGAATGACAGAGTAAGAGTCAGACTCCAAGTAGAGGTATTTCCAACCTTTCTGCCATGCTTGTTCAATACCAACAATAACTGCGACCAATTCAACATAGAAAGCAATTTACACACCCAAAAATTCACTAAAAATTCTCTTAACTTTCAAAATAAGTTGAAAGTCAAATAAGAGTCAAAAATAAAAATTAGATGAAAGTATATATATTGATAAATATAATTGACTTTATTATAATAATTAATGTTAAAATAAAAAATCAAAAGTTGTTCGCAGCTAATGAGTAATATAGAAATAGATAATTAGGGTTAAAATAAAAAATTTAAAATTTTAACCGATGCTACTTAAATGAGAGTTGTAAGGGAACAATCCTCTTCAATTTAGTTTCTTTTTATTTTTTAGTACACTATTTATTGTGAATTTAAAGCGGATTTCATTGTAAGTGAATTCCCCCTTGTGAAAAAATAAATAAATTCCTTCATATTAAAGAAAAAATTAATTAAGAAAAAAAAAATGTGTTGAAAGGAGTCAAAGCATTAATGTAAAATGACCAGCAAGGTTCTTGTGACACGTCGCGTTAGTGTAGCGTCGGTGAGCAAAGGCACGGTCGTTATATCGACGCTCAAAACTCTTATTAAAAGTTCGAAACATTTTACGTGGGGAAAAACAGCGTCAATCAAGGAAGGAGCAGTCTGATAAAAAAAAAGGAAGGAGTGAGATCATGCAGCTGCACCCTGACAAAGCTGTATTACTGTCGCCTCTTATCTTCATTGTTCATTCTCCATGTGACTCTCTCTCTCTTTCTCTCTCTCTCACTCTCACTCTCACTCTCACACACAAGCACACAGCCTAAAACGATCGTGCCCTCCTAGACATTCAGATCGAGCCACATTGGGACATCAATGGCGATTTCATATCCAAAAGCCTCTCTCCTCTTCTTTTTTGTCCTGGTTTTCATCAGTTTCAACCCATTCGCCGGAGCTCAGGTGGATGACTCTTCACTTCAGCTCATGACCACCGAAGGTCTTGAGTGGCCTTCAACAATGTCTCTCCACGACGACTTCGACGTAGAAGAAGGCATAGACAGTGGGTTGGTGGATCGTAGGTCTCTGTACTGGAACACAAGGAGGACCTACTACATTTCTTACGGAGCACTCTCAGCGAATAGAATTCCATGCCCACCACGCTCCGGAAGGTCATACTATACCCACAACTGTTACAGCACCAGTGGACCCGCTCATCCCTACACCAGAGGCTGTTCTGCCATCACCCGTTGCAGGGGATAGAAAAATTAAAATATTTTTAAGCTTGTAATTTCTTTGTTTCGTCGTTGATTAGTTTTGTGTGTTCTTGATTTGTTCTTCTTTTCTTTTTCTTTGGTGGTCGTAATTTGTATCTGTTTGTTAGTGAAATTATTGCCTGGTTTGTGTTCTGATATTATTGCAGATCTGAATATGTTTGTGTCGTGACAAGTGTTTTGTGAACCACTGAACTGTGAATCAAAGACTTTGGGTTGACTATTATTTCAATTAAATTTATTGACTCAATTAACTCATCGAATTTATTATAATTATTACATCGGTGATGGGTCTCAATTACAGTAATTTTGAAGCCCACAGATATTAATTATGTCAGTAAACAATACTTCGTTTTTTCATTTCCCTTGAAATTTAAGAATCTCTCGAGGACTCTTTTTGAAATTTAAATTGAAAAATGTTACTTGAATTTAAAACACCGAATTAATTTAATTTAATGACAGTGATTAATCAAGTCAGCATTTTAAGTCTATATAACATTATTCCAATTCAATGCAACATGCATTGAATTGAAAGTGAGTTCGACCTAATATTTGAACTCACACCCAATGTAATAATTGCATTAAATTATATCCCTTATTAGATCCCAAATTAAGCACATGAGTAATGCTATTAAAATTTAATTTATTGATCTTATTTACTGATCTAATTCACTATAATTTTTAAATTAATTGTAGGGCTCATCAAATATTAAAATTTAGTATTAATTTAATAGTTTTAATAAATTACGTCATTAAACTAATAAATTAGGTGAAATTTGTAAGTCGAAATAAAATTGCTCAAAATCTCCTGCAAGGGTTGGTTATGATTAGAGATAATAGCAGAACAATAAATATGAGGGTGAGGGCGAGGGTGAGCGTGAGCTGTTATTGTTTGTTGTTCACTCCATTGACTACGTTTCACGAGGTTTGGGTGAAATAAATAATTATAAGATTGTTAGAAATTAACGCACTCATATCTATATAATAAAGTAATTTATAATTTAAATTTTAAAAAATAAATTAAATAATTTTTGTTATTCACGGTTGAAATCACTTTAAATTTCACTTTAAAATTAATTTAACGGTTAATATT